GGTGCCCAGGGCTCTTTTGATTACCCAGGGTTGAAAATAAAAGTGAAGACCCTGCTCCATACACTGGGCCACTGGTGCAGGTGCTAATGCCAATGAGGGAGAAGTGAATTAGCCACTGTTCATGTTATGTCTTGGGAAAACATTGCTTAGTAATTGTAGTAAATAACACGTTGAAAACTCTTTTGTTGATGGAATATCTCCACCATCCGCCCACCCTCATCTGCCTATCCCCATCCCCTTCCAACGGGCATTCAGAACTGGGGAAAGGACCTAGTCAAATAGGGTAGAAAATGGGAAAAAAGATTAAGAACAAAAAATCAGTATTTTAATGAAAATACGAGGACAAAATTCTTGATATTGTAAAAACTCCGGTTTTGTGTGTAAAAATAGTAACTGAGAACAATTAGACATAGAAAATCCCTCACTTTCATGTGATGCTTTAATTACTCCCAGAAGAACATTATTAATTATTTAAAGGGTCATGTGAGTCATTAATTATCCTTCCCTGTTCATTTCTAAGCAAACTTTTAAACTTAGTCTCATTCGCCAATTTACTCTTCAATTAGATTTCTATTTCTGCTTCACATGCAGCTAAAAATAGTTCCCTATTTTGTCCCTTTAATGTTTGTTTTCTTCTCTTCTCCCTAAAAAGCAAGCCACTTGGAAAGGTGACATGGCTGTCAAACCAGACTCTGCTTCTCTCTGAAGATCCAGGACCCTCTGGCCTGGAATCATGGGCCTCTCAGCCCTGCAGGGTCTCCCTGTCACTCCCAGGACCCTCCTTTCACCCTGTCTCCCCTTCCCCATGCTCCGTGGATCCTCCACACCCTCAGAATTTTGGCACATGACAAATGCGTGACTGGTGCTGCAGATAATGGCCAGGGGGGCTCAGCTGACAGATTTCTCCCTCCTCTCACCAGGCCCTACCCAGGCCTCGCCTCTGAAAAAAGAAAGTTCTGGTTTACCAATTCACACACAAGTGTTAGCAATTCAACACCTTTTACTTCTCCTTTGAAAGGGAATAGGAGAGAAGAGCACAACCCAGAAAACCAGAAGGCCCTGGCAGAGGGGCAGGGTCTGGAGGGCAGCCCTGCTGACCTGCTCCCAGCCTGTGGAGCAAAGTGAGGGCTCTGGGCTGGGCTTGAGGGGAGTGCTCAGGGAGGGGCCTGCTGTCTTGGCAGCCGCTGGCTGAAGCCTCCCAGACTGGAGTGAGTGTAACCAGGAGTCACTCACACATCTGCCCACTTGCTCGTCCACAAACAGGAAACACCTACTGTGCAAACCCCAAGGCTGAGCAGTCAGTGGAGGGGCAGACATCAAATAACCTCTCTAAATATTGTGTCATATTATATCAAGCCCTGAATGGTTCTCCAAGAAAATGGCAACACCTCCTTGTAAAGGGAAGTTTAGAGAACTCTGAGTCTGGCTGGTCTGAGAAAGTGGAAGATGGCAACAGTCAGGGCCCTAGGAGAGGAGAAAGAGACCCCTCCTGGAAGAACTGGTCACGATCAGGAGGCAGAGGCTGGCAGCCTGCCTCTGTGAGTCCCATCATCCTGGGGTGGGAGAGGGGCCCCGGCCAGGGCTGTGCCATGTGCTGGTGTGTGGCCAGCTCTTGGACAAACCATCCAAGGTGTCCTTCCAGCAGCTCCCAGACCCCTGAGGTTCCTCCCAAAATTTCACAGCTTGGAGTGAAAAAAGAGATTAAAGCTGATGATGTTTTCCAACATCCTAGGCTTTTTGTCAAGAGGGTGAAGGAAGCAATGTTTTTAAGTCTAATATTTAGGTTTTAAAAGATACAAAAAGAGGGACACAGGCAAATGATGAGTTTCTTCGCAGTACAAGCTAAAAACGGCCTGGCTGGGGCACCCCTGAGGTTAGCATCGTCCTCTGGGGCGCCCATCTCCACTACCCAGGCAGATGTGGTCTCTAGAACCCAAAGTACTCATCTGGATGTGGCAGAGACACCAGAAGGATCTCAGAGAGTCGTGTTTCTGGGAAGCTTCGTTCCTCTTTTGGAAGAACATGCAGTACTAGCATGGCACCTTTTTAAAAGTGATTAAAAGGTGTATCTTTCACTCTGTTCTAATCATGAAGCCCCGAGGCTTCCCCTGACGTGTCATTGGGTTCCAGGCTTCTGCTTCATGAGGAAAACACACAAGTAGCTGCTCAGTTTCCGCCAGTGTCTGCCAGAGATTTGATTCTCCCATCAGAGCTCAGCCTGGAAAAGCCAGGGCAGCTGCCAGTGTGGGAAGCAGCAGGGAAGTGGGTGACCTTGGAGGGCATGTCCAGGGGGCAGGATGAGAAACTGAAAAGCACCTCAGGGGTCCCAGCCCCTCCAGAATGCCCCAGGATGGAGGCAGGTGGAGGTGCAAGGGAAAGAAGGTGTGGCAAAAAGAGACCTGGTTATGGGGAGAAGAAACCTTGGTGGGAGCAGGAGGCAGAACCCAGGCTTCTGCTGGGTGCATAAGCTCAGTCAGGGGCGGACCACGCCTGAGGCCCAGACCAAAGACCACAGCACCAGGAGTCAGGCACCAGCAGAGGCCGGGAAAGGGAGTCTTCTCTGCCCTGAGGACACAGGGGCTCTGGGAGGAGGAAGTGTGAACCATCCTGAAGGAGAGGGCATTCGCCCAACAGAGTTGGAGTGATCTTTGACACACATAAGTAGGAGCCATCCCATCATCTGTGGGAATTCTGAGCAGGTTCAGAGCAGTTGGAACAGGAGGAGCCTCTTGTGGCGGAATCTGTTTTGTAGGGTGAACTTGACTCCCACCGTGTGTGCCTTTCACTACGTCGGAGCCTCCAGAATTGGCAGTCTCCCTGCTGCCACCCCGCTAAACTCCTGGCACAATCACTGCTCTCAGCTCTTCTCCCCAAGATGTCCCATCTGCGGGAAAGGCTCTGCACCCCACACTCGGCCACCCACCCACACTCCCCTTGGCCCATTCACTCCCCTCACACACTCACACTCCCCTCACACACTCACACTCTTCCTCCACCTACTCACTCTCCCTCTGCCTACTCACACTCTCCCCTCCACCCACTCTCACTCCCCTCCAATGCACAAGTAACTCCAAGTTTATGGCTTTCCCAGGGTGGAACCAGGAGGAGAAGATGCGTTCATCAAAGGAACCCAGCGTCACAAGCTTTCTTCATAAGCCAAGCTGTCACCCATGGCCCAGGTCTCCTTCTTCATCAGTTTCCCATTAGATACACATGGATGAAGCCAGAGAGATAACAGGTAGCACATAAATGACAGGCAGATGACAGATGATTGACGACAGGCAGATCACAGATATGATAGATCCCAGAAAAATGACAGATAGACAGATGATAGATCACAGACCATAGATAGGAAGATGATAGATGATGTAAAGGTACATGATACATGGATAGATCATAGATAAATGACAGGTAGATGACAGATAATAAATAGGTAGATGGTAGTAATAGATGTCAGACAGATGATAGGTAGATTGTAGATGATTGGTACATGATAGATGGATAGATCATAAATGACAGATGATAGGTGATAAATAAGTAGGTGAAAGGTTACAGCTAGATGATAGGTAGATGACAAATGACAGGCAAATAATAGATGATAGGTACGTAACAGATGAATAGATGATAGATAATAGATGACAGGTAGGTGATAGGTGATAGGTAGATAATAAAAAGGTACAGGACAGGTGCATGATGGACAGGTGACAGCATATGACAGATGGATAGATGATGTGGATGATAAACATCAGATGACAGAAAAATCGATATCTGTGAACACGGGGGATCAGAGAGAAGCAAATAAGCCCAACAAGGTCAGTGTTAATGACTGAATCCAGATGAAGGGTAAAAAGAGTTCTTTGTACTATTCTTATTCTTCTAATTTTTGTGTACGTTTGAAATTATTTCCAAATTTAAAAAAAAAACACACACAAAATTAGCTTTCGTCTCTCATTTCCAGTGCCTTCCCCTTGCTGGGTGACGCCTGCTCTCCTGGGCTGGCCCTGCGGGCTCCTCGGGAGGCGGCGCAGTCCTGCGTGGGGCAGGCGGGCGGCCCCAGTGGCCCCGCCTGAGTCCCGCCGCCGCGTGTGCGGGGAGAGGACGACTCCCCGCGCTGCAAACGCAGGACACAAAACCAGCAGCCGAGCCGAGGTTGGGACCCCCTGCCCCTCCGTCTGCGTTTTTCTCCGGTTTTCTGTCCAACCTGACTTGGTCTGTTGAGGCTGTTCCTGGGTCCCCACCGAAACGCACCCTAATTTTCTCAATTTTCAGACGTCCCAACCCTGCCCCACCCGCTACAAAGACAGCGCACCCACCCTGGACGGGTTTCTGGACGCTTTCTCGGGCTTCCGCAGTTATTTAGCGAGGCAGGTGCAGGCAACCAGCGGCCAAGGCCTCGCTCCTTCCGAGCGCGCACACCTGGCCGGGTCCTCCCTCCCCGCCCCGCGGGCCTTTTTCCAGGTTCTTCCCACCCCGAGCCAGGCGCGCACCGAGCATCCCCTTCCCTGCCCCTCCGCCCACAGAACCTGGGAGGCGCCGCCAGGAGGGGAGCGCGGAGCTGGGGTCTCGGGGGAGGAGGAAGACGGGAGTGTGAGGGGGGCGCGGGGCGGGGACAGGGCGCGGGGCGGGGACGGGCGGGCGTGGCGCGCGCTCCAGCGCCTGGTGAGGGTAGGCCCACGCGCTCGGGACTCCCGGCTACAGCTGCGGGGCACGCGCGGGCTTCGGCGGCTGGAGCCTGGGGTGCTGGGACCGCGGTCTCCGAGGACTCGGGGCCAGCGCATCCTGGGGGCGGCGGAGCCGCGGGGACTCGGGACGGAGGCGGCCGGCACTGGGTGGCCCCCGGCAAGCCGAGCTCGGGATGCGGGCGCTGCTGCCGCCCGCGCTGCTGACCTGCTGGCTGCTCGTCCCCGTGAGTGCGCCTGCGATCCCCGCGACCTGCACCCCAAGCCGGGGCTCCCCTTCCGAGAAGAGCGCTCCTCCCGCCGGGCTTCGCCTTCCTCCCGGGTCCTGGCGCGGGCGTGGGGACTCTCCCTGCCTGCCTGGGGTCCGGGGTCCGGGGTCCGGGGTCCGGGAGAGGGAGTGGGGTCGCTCGGGGTCCGCTGGGCTCCGGCCCTGCCAGGTTGTGGGACCCGGGTTGGGAGGCTGCCTCCGCCTCTCCCTGCGCCCTGCATTTCGGGGTTTGCTGGAAACGGGATCGTTCCTTCCTGGACGCGTCCACGATGAGCTCATTCGGGCCGTCCCGGGAGCTGGGAGCTTCGGGCACCTGAGCGTTTCGTTGGGATCGGGGTTGGCATTGGCCGCAGATCCTCGGCCACCTCCTTGTACTTACTGGTCTGTGTTTTAGTGTCGGGGAGACGTGGCGTTGGCTGGGGAAAGTTTCCTTTTGGAAATAGTTGCTTTGTTTCCCAAGAGCACGGGAGGAAATAACTGCGCGTAAGTTTGTTGAATGAGTGCTTTCACACACGGCGTTCTGAATTACCCACTTTGTGAACCTTTACAAAAAAGAAAGAAAGAGAGAAAGAGAGGAAGGGAGGAAGGAAGGAAGAAAGGAGAGAGAGAGAGAGAGAGAGAGAGAGAGAGAGAGAGAGAGAGAAAGAGAGAGAAAGAGACAAGGAAAAGAAAATCCGAGCCTTGTTTCTTGCTTTCCTCTCGGAGACCCAAGCGGGTTTGCAGTGCGCGCGGCTTTCCTGGCGTCGCGGCCAAGGTGGGTCTGGAGGGATGCGCGGCCTCTCTGTGGCTGGGAGAGCCCTGCTGCCGCCAACAGGACCGGGTTGTTTCCGGGACGCCCGGTGCTCAGCGGGGCGCGAGCTGCACTCCCTGGCCTTGAGCAGAGGCGCAGCCAGGCTTTCCCACTCCGGGGTGGGCGCTTTACGGAGCGATCCTTATCATGGTGAATGCTGCTTTCATTGCTAAAATGCCTAAGAGGAGTGATTGTTCTGCATTTTCCAGGAGCGTCAGGTATTGTAATGTCATTTATACCTTTACAGAGTTTTTTCTTTTTACATCAATATAATTTCCTTAATTCTGAAATTTAAGCCACTGACTTTCCCTGCATGAAAACAGAGGACCTGGAGCCCAGAGTCTGGCCTGGTGCTGCTTCGGTCATGAGCTAGAAGCAAGCTAGGCTCCCTCTTTTAAATGAGGCCAAAGGCGGCAAAAGGTCCAGCGTTGTTTTCCCCTTAATTCTTTAGGAAATTGTGTTTGTGGTTGGAACTGTTACTGACCATGTCAGTAGTAAGGTAACTGGACATCCATGGCCATAATACACCCAAGAGTATGACTCTCTTTAGTTATTACTTTTGTACGAGTAGAGTTTTGGTCTGTGCGGGGGAGGGGGAAGATCAAGACCAGAAGGATGGGTGCGTAGAGCCCTCCTTAAGCCCCGAAGGCTGCTTGGCAGGCCCGGTGCTGACTAGGGGTGGGCGCGAAATGCAAGCGTGTTGATCTTGGTAGAAACCGTGCCTTCTGAGAGGAACCGTTATGTAGTTCTGTCTTCTCGCATTCACAGACAAGGTTAATTACCATCTTTGTAGCATCTTTAGCTCCCCTGATGGAGCCTGCCTGGAAATCGCTCCCTCTTCTTCGTGAGGCCACAATGGTGTGACTCCCCCACCTCTGCCTCCCTCCTCATCTTGCTGATCTTCTTGAATATCTCTTCCACTGCAAATTCTAGTCAAAATGACTGCAGTTTTATCTGTAGTTATAGGGTTAAGCTTTGAAAGTATACCAAAGCCTTTACAAATAAAGCCCTGCTATCCAGCTCTTTCTTTCCCTGGTGGAAGCTATCTGCAGAAAGCTGCACAGTCCACAGGCATCCATCCACTTAAACCAAACCAAAGGCTGTGACATGGAGGACCCGGGTGTCCAGGGATTAGTGGAGTGAAGGGCTCTGTTGCCTCCATATTAGTACTGAACAACATCCAATGTGTCATGTTAGCAAGTTTATTTCCTGCCCAGAAAAAAAAGAAATCTATTAGATTTTGTACTTGTTATAAGATAACTTTACAAAGTAAATAGTGAAGTTTAAGAAACGCCAGAAAAATGAAGGTGATTGGTTTTAAATGAATTTTAGTTTGGAAGCGGTTTAAAACTGTGCGGTTTTTGGGTGTTTTTGTAGAAGTTTGCTTGTTTTCCTCTTATCGTGGAATTTTTAGTTATGAATATTTCTTTTAACCTTGAACAGGTGAACAGCATTCACCCAGAATGCCGATTTCATCTGGAAATACAGGAGGAAGAAACAAGATGTGCAGAGCTTCTGAGGTCTCAAACAGAAAAACCCAAAGGTAAGGTAGAGAGCTTGTGAGAAGGAACTCCAGTGACATTCTAACCTGGGAATATGCACACTCAGCTGTGGTTCGGGGTCACCACCTGCATCTTAAAAGAAAGAAAGAAAGGTCACTTCCCATTGTTTGTTACTGAACTACTGGAGCTAAAACTCACAGAGTGTTGGATAGGTAGGGTCTTCACACACACCTTAGAAAACCTGAATCCTTAGCAGTAACAGTTTCCATGGTTTGAGATGATAGCAACAGTTACTAAAACAATTTCTTCATGGGCTTTGTTATGCTTTACAAAAACAGCTCCAGTTTTCCAGGGGATAAGCATTTATCTGAATTCTGCCTTTAACTTCTTAGTTATAGCACAGATGATTTTGATCTGGTCAAGGATGGTGGATATTTGGCAGAAAGCAAACAGAAAAATGAGTCTTTAGTTGTCCTGAAGATGGGCCTGCGGTGAACACTGTCTTCTCCGGTTTGACAGAGGCATGCTGCGCCATCATGCCCCAGACCCGGCCTGCTAACAACCTGTTTATAGATTCTGTGCCCTGGGATAGCACCCCGCCTATAAATAGCAGCAAGGCCTTTGTCCGTCAGCTTTCTCTGCTCTTTGTCATGATTTTCTCCTCTTGAAGAAAGAAATTAAATCTGCATTGAAACAGTCTGGTGTCCTGTAGAGGGCCTCAGATGGTGGGCTTTATTCAAGAATAGCCCTGCCCAGCAGAAATAGAATGCAAGCCACATTACAAGAAGTAAAAAGAAGCATAAGAGATTAATTTTAATAGTATCTTTTGTCTACCTGAATAAATCTGAATCCTTAACATTTCGACGTATAATCAACCTAAAATTATCAATGTTATGTTCTTATTTTATGCTAAGTCTTACAAGTCCAGTGTGCTTTTTGTGCTTACAGCACAACACAGCGTGGACCCCATTTCAAGGTTCAGGAGCCACAGGCGGCCAGTGGTCTCCACATGGGACGTGGGACTGTAGATTGTAACTAAACAGGTGTTCCCCACTTCCCGTTCCCCTCTGAGCCACCATGTCCCAGTCTGAACTAAGTGGCTCTGCCTCTAGGGCTGCTTCTGGCTTTGAAGATCAGTGATTCTGTGGTGCGTGCCTAGCTCTGCCCACATCTTCCACATTGTCTGGTTGAACCCTGTCCAGAGAAAGGCAAATAAACTAACTTGGCTGAAACCACGCGGAGAGTCTCTCCTGTGAAACACTGATGCGGCCGAGGAGATGTGGATGGATGAGCAGCTGTGGCTCGTTCTTCCCAGTGAAAAATCTGAGTTAGGAAAAGTAGTCCTAAGAAGAGATGAGCTTTTAGGGTTACCGGGGGCCTGGGGGCCTGGGGGCTTGGAGGCCTGGACAGCCCTCATCACCTCCAGGTCCCAAATTGCCCAGCTTCATGTTTTCATAAATGCAGATTTATGTAAAACATTTTACTTTCTTAAAAGCTTGTAAACAATACATTTAAAAAATACATTTTGAGGGAGCCCAGAGCCATCTGATGGCTCTCTGCATGGTAGCTGGACCATAGCTTATCCCCAGGTTGGAGACGCCTCCTGGGGCACCCTCACCCAAAGCCGGGTCAGCATATTTAAACTGTTCATAGGGGCTCTTCCTCACTGAGTGATCTGTGTGTGAGCCACAGCGGACACCAGGGGCCAGAGGTCCCAGGGAGTCACTCAGCCCCACACAAGCTTGAGCAGGTTCAGATGCAGGCCCAAGAGTCAGGCCTTGAAGATCTGATTGGGTCATGAAGCCTCCACCCATGTAAAGGTTAATCCATTAATAGATCAGTGGGTTAATGAATTTTCATGGAAGAGCTGGTGGCTTTATAAAAAGAGCTAGAGAGACCTGGGTTGGCACGCTTGGCCCCCTCACTACCTGATGCTCTGTACCACCTGGGGACCCTAAAGAGTCCCCACCAGCAAGAAAGCCCTCACCATTGTAGCCACTCAACCTTAGACTTCTCCATCCTCATAAATGTAAGAAATAAATAACCTTTTCTTTACAACTTACCCAGTTTCAGGTATGTTCTTATAAGCAACAGAGGCAAACTGAGACACTTGAGCAGATTGCAGCTCTTCCTGAAGGGGACTTGGACTTGAACCTCTTTGATGGCAAGGATTTGTAGCGTTTTCTGGGTCAATACCCAGTTCCTGTGATGCTCCAAAGGCTACATGGCCAGGGCCTGTATGTTTGAGGGTTGCCTCATGTCATGGGATGAATGGAAATGAAACCATCCTGCTGACGTTTACTGATGCATTGGTTGATCTTTTCATTTATTTTTTTTTTTTCTGAGATGGAGTTTCACTTGTTGCCCAGGCTGGAGTGCAATGGGTGATCTTGGCTCACTGCAACCTCTGCCTCCCGTGTTCAAGCAAATCTCCTGCCTCAGCCTCACGAGTAGCTGGGATTACAGGCGCCTACCACCACGCCCAGCTAATTTTTTTATTTTTAGTAGGCACAGAGTTTTGCCATGGTGGCCAGGCTGGTTTCGAACTTCTGACCTCAGGTGATCCACCACCCTGACCTCCCAAAGTGCTGGAATTACAGGCCTGAGCCACTGTGCCCAGCCTTCTCTCATTTATTAACATTTTTTCAGCAGGTTTTTATGGAACAGATATCAGATTGTAAAAAAAGAACTTTCTTTTTTATATATTATTTTTATTTTATTATTTTATTATTTTTTTTTTTTTAAGATGGAGTCTCACTCTGTCCCCAGACTGGAGTACAGGGGTACAATCTCACCTCACTGCAACCTTTGCCTCCTGGGTTCAAGCGATTGTCCTGCCTTAGCCTCCCAAGTAGCTGGAATTACTGGCATGTGCTGCCATGCCCACCTAATTTTTTGTATTTTTGGTAGAGATGGGGTTTCACCATCTTGGCCAGGCTGGTCTCGAACTCCACAAGTGATCTGCCTGCGTCAGCCTCCCAAAGTGCTGAGATTACAGGCACAAGTCACTGTATTTAATTAATATTTAATAAAAAAATATTAAATAATTTTTTTAATATTAAAGACTCACATTTCTTAACTAATCAAAGACTCAAGTTATCCTGACAAAATACAAAATCATTGTTTTCTAGGCCAATTTCTTAAAATGAAAAAAAAAAAAACCTTTTGTAATTAAGAGAAGACCAATATTTAAGAAAATATCGTCCTATTAACAGAGACAAAATGAGCTTTGTGTCAGTGCTTTACTAAGCTTTAAAAAAAGCTTATAAACAAAATTCTAATCTTAGTATTTGGCCACACGTAAAATTCCTTCTGTCAGACTTCCTATGACTGTGTAAACCCCTCAGTTTTTGTCTTACTCATTTTCTTCATTTTTATGCTAGAACCATCAGTCATTTTGCTTTAAGATAACATTACTCTCTTTTTTCTTAAAATACAGACCTCGTGTACTTCTCCTTACTAACAACACATCCTAATTTCTCTGCACATCTTTCATACACAGTTGTTTGCTTTCATCTTTATTTCTAGTGGTTTTAATTGCATGTGTTAATTCAAGTTCTTAATCCTTAGTGACATTAATATCCACTGTCAATTAGGAAGTACATGACGTCGTAGTTACTAAATGGCCTGTGCCTCCGCAGCACAGGACACGCTCACGGCAGACCCAGGTAGCTCCAGTTCCCCCGTAATACACCAAAAATAATTAAGCTTAAACTTCTTTTTGGGAACTAGTATTTCCGTAGTTTATTGTATTTGGGCATGCTCTAGATGTGTAGTAAATATCATTTAATTTAGCCTAGTATAATTTCAGAGTTTCAAGTTTTCAAAAATATTTTGGAAACTGTTTTTAAACAGACACATAATATCAAACTACCTGTCATCTCAGCTTATTTTTCTTGTTGACAAATTTTTTAACAGGAATAATGAGCTTATTTGACTAGCTCAGCTAGGTAGAATGTTCATTTCTACTAAATCATCAATATTCTTATTTATTAAAGATTACTCAAGTCATATGAACTTAAAACCATTGGGGTTTTTTTTCTGACAAAATATTGAATTTATACAAGGACCTAATTTTCTCTAGGCCAGTAAAGCAGCTCTTTTAACATTATTTCTAATAATAGCATCCAGAGGTAAATGCTATAACATGTAAACAACATACATATATATAGATGTAATAACCAAACAGACAGATGCAGAGATTGCTGACTTCTGTTCTCTAATTGTAGCCCTGTGCCAGGTACAATAATATAAAACTCACTGGTCGGTCCAAATTGTATTCTTGGCAGATAAAGTTACCTGTTCGGATGGCCAAAGCCTTTTGTTAATTCATATGAAAAGGACTTTTAAGATTTTCCATTTGCCAGTTTTTATTTTATAATGTTCCCATTTCTTCTCCCTTCTGATGAGTCATTTCCCTGACGCTGCATTTTAAAGCTTTCAACAACTCTAAGGTGGGAGAAAGGACAGTAAGTTTTCTCCAGAAAGGAGTTGTGCACAGTTGCATGTAGTCGGGTCAGCCTTACCGGTACTGCAGGCCATGTTTATGGAGTGGCCGGGAGACACCTCACTGTTCAAGCGCTGTAGAGATTCCTTTAGAGAGGCTACAATTTTGGAGTCATTCTGTCTGAAATCAATCTGTATACCAATCAAAAAATGTATTGCATGGTGTTGTAGGCACTCAGGATTCCTTTTCTTCAATGTGCCCATAGGCGAATGATTTCATCTGGAATAAACTTCCCACTGTGGCCCCGTAACTCAGAGCCATCCTCCTGAGCTGCACCCATTTCTCTAGAAAGGCACGGGCTCTGGGTCTGTAGTTTCTGAACAGAAAATTACCTGGAGTTCCAGTTGGGGTGTCCCAGACTCCATGGATTCTGATGAACCCATAATTCCTTGTTTTTCTCACATTTTCTTGCCTGAGGCCTCCAACTGGACCCAGGCCAGTTCCTGTAGAACACCCAGTTTAACTCTGGATCCCAAACCAGGTTCCAGTGCAGTCCCTGTCAGACCCAGGCTGACCTCTGGAATAAAAGTTGCT